GGCAGCTCACAACTGTCTGAAAATGCAGTTCCACAAGATCTGACACCTTCACAGCAATGCACATAAAATAAAGTTAAATAAAAAATTTAAAAAAACCTAAAAAATTGTATCAGTAAACTAAGATCCATACCGATGTGAATCTGTAGCATATCCTCCTTTAAATGTAAACAATCATTTAGGGAATTTGGGCATAGTTCTTTCCAAACTGCTTTCTGCTTTTTGTTGGGCAAAGTATTTTCAGGGGTTTTCATGGTGACCTTTCAGGGGGTCTTGGTCCATTAAACCACATTAGTTTGGGATTAATCCATGGGTTTTCATCCGTGGAAACAAAAGCAACATACCTTATATTTAAATTCTGAAGTCAAGATACCTTTATGTTGGTTTAACTTAGCAGTCCATACAATGTTTCTTGTACATTTGTCTCTTGTTACATAGCTCTTTTAACAGTCAAAAAATTCAAAGAAAACATAAATAATACAGCCTCTGTGTATATTCCATCTTTATGTGGCTTATTTTTCTTAGTCTATTTTTCTATAAGTTTGATATTTATTTACTCCTTTAATCTATGTTTATACTTTCATATTACATTTACTATCTCTTTACTCTTTTCTCTCTCCCAAGCATTTTTAAAACACTGTGTCTTGTTTAGAAGTCATTTATGTCTAAATCTGTCCTGTTGTGCATCTGAAATTCTTTTCTGTCCAGGAGCGCTTCTAAAAATGTTAAGTGGCTAAGCATTGTTACTAAGACTAAGGTTTCTTTGCCTTTTGGCTCTGCCCAGTTCAACACAGGGGCAGAGGTCTGTTTAGCTGAGCCATGCTCACAGCCCCATTTTCAGGCACACAGGGTATATGTTGCCATTAAGCAAGTAGCACTCCACTCACAAACCCCATTTAAATGCTTTGTAGCTGGACCTCCCAAAAGAGTCAGAGTTTGTGCTAGCAGCATAGCCCAAGAAGCTGCCATTTCAAAACCACCATGCAGTTTTTTGGTTTTGCCACCGCTGAATCAAGAAGACCTCTCTTAAAAGAGTTGTGGCATGCGCCAGCAAGCAGAGCCTATCTGAAAAAAAAATGCAGCTAAACTTTTTCAGTGTCTAGAATTCCTTTCCAAGCCTTATGTGGATCTAGCTAGCACACATTGGAGCGCCAATCTGTAGTAGGAGGCTGCTTGTTCATTTCCCAGCCACCCAGGCTCCCAAAATAATTACACAGAAACTATATTATTTAAATCACTGATTGGCCAATCACTTAAGCATATTGCTAGCTAGCTCTTAGATGTAAAATTAACCCATTCCCGTTATTTTATATTTTACCGCGAGGCTTGTGGCCTACCAGCAAAGTTCCAGCTGGCAGCTCATGTCTTTCCCTCTGGCCCCTACATGTCATCTTCCGACTCTGCCTTCTTCCTCCCAGCATTGTTTAGTTTTCCCGGCCTAGGCTCTACCCTATCACAGGCCAAGGCAGCTTCTTTTTTTTTTTTTTTTTAAGATTTTATTTATTATGTATACAGTGTTTTGTCTGCATGTCCGCATGTACACCTGCAGGTCAGAAGAGGGCACCAGATCTCATAGATGGTTGTGAGCCACCATGTGGTTGCTGGGTCTTAAACTCAGGACCTCTGGAAGAGCAGACACTGCTCTTAACCTCTGAGCCATCTCTCCAGCCCCAGCTTCTTTATTCATTAATCAATAAAAGCACAGGACTTTCCACACCAGTTGGAAAAATGGTCCAGTGATTAAGAACACCCACTGTTGCCTGTAATTGCAGTTCCAGCAGATCTGACCCCTGACATCCACAAACGCCAGTAACACGTGGTGTGCACACTTTTTTTTTTTTTAAATGGTGAATCTTTAAAAATCCAAACTGAGGCTGGGTGGTGGTGGTATATGCCTTTGATCCATGGCACCTGGGCGGTAGCGTCAGGTAGATACCTCTTGAGTGAGGCCAGCTTGGTCTACACAGAAACCCTGTCTCAAAAGCCAAAACAAAACTCTTGAGGACATCCATTCCTAGCCCCGAGAGCCTGCACCTCCTTTAAGGTAGATCCCCCCAACAGTCCATTAGAGTGAAGTAATGTCTAATTTTGCTCATGTACTTGGGCTGACCTGGGAATTCAGCTAAGAATGACTTTGAACTTCCTGCCTCCAAGGTGCTGGGAGTACAGGTGTGTGCCATCACACTCTGGTATAGGTAGTGCTGAGGATAAAACCTGGAGTTTGCAAACCGGGCAGTACTGTACCAATCAGGCCTCCCCCAAGCCTGGCCATTGTCCATCCTGTGTAGACTCCATGTAGCAAGCAAACGTAAAAGATTCATGAGCATTAACGTTTCCTGCTTTGTCTTTTTCATGACAAGGTTTCTTTCTATACCCCTGGCTGTTAGGATGGAACTGGATCTGTAACCCAGACTGGCCTTTAAATTAGGAAATTCTCCTGCCTCTGCCTTCCAAGTACTGGGATTAAAGGCATGTGCTGCCACCACCTGGCCAAGTTTGTTTTTAAGTTTTATGTGTATGGGTGTTTCTCCCCCATGTATGTACATGTAGCAGGTATATCCCTGTTGCTCACACAAGCCTGAGGGAGTCCAATTGATCCCTTGGAACTGGAGTTACAGACAGTTGTGAACTTCCATGTGGTTGCCAGACATCAGGTTCTCTGTAAGAACAAGTTCTCTAAACTGCTGTGACATCTCCAGCCCTTCAAGAGCATTTCCAAGCAAATGTGATGAGAAAAAAAACAACTTGTCTAGCACTTCAGGAAGTTGGAGCAAGGATTCTGAGTCAAAGGCCAGCTTCAGCTACATAGTGAATGGAAGGCCAGCCTTTATTACGAGACCACAGAGAAATCTAAGGTATTATGAAGTCAAGGAGAGTAGGTTCAGATTTTTTAGATCTCTATCAGATGTTGAAAGATGGGCAAGCAGGAAGGCTGTGAAGGCTCCTGAACCAAGGATAGTTGTTACCTCCACTGCTTTGATCTGGGCTGCAAAGGGTGCCACCCAAAGATTGGGCTCTTGGTTTGGTAGTATTCTCTGAACACTGGGTTCAGTAAAAAGAATGTAACTCCTACATTTATGTGTCTATTGATGCTTTGTCAGGTTTGTCTGTGTCCACCATGTGTGTGCAGTGCCCACAGAGGCCAGAAGAGTTGGATTCCTGGAGCAGGGAACTTAAGTCACCTGGAAGAGCAGCCAGAGCCCCGGTTTTGTCAGTTTGTTTTGAGACAGGGTCCTGTTATGCAGCATTAGATGGTCTCGCAGTTCAGTTTGTAGACCAGGCTGACCTTTAATTCCTGCCTTAATCCTGAGTGTTAAGATTAAAGGTATATTCCTCTGTGCCCAGCAGTCCTGCTTTAAAAATATGTGTGTGGTGTTTTTCTACATATATGTTTGTTTATGTGCCACATGCATTAGAACTGGAGCTCGACGGCTGTGAGCTCTCAGATGGGATTCAAACTACAGAAGAGCAGCAGTGCTCGCAACCCTGGAACCGTCCCCAGCCCCCTTCTCTTAGGAGGTGTTCTGGTGATCAAACATGACCTTGTGTTCTCTTTACCAACTGAGCAACCTCCTGTCCAAAAATTATATATAAAAACATACTACACAGCCAGGCGGTGGTGGCGCACGCCTTTAATCCCAGCACTTGAGAGGCAGAGACAGGCGTATCTCTGGGAGTTCGAGGCCACCCTGGTCTACATGAGCTAGTTCCAGGACAGGCTCCAAAGCTACAGAGGAACCCTGTCTCAAAAAAACAAAAATAAAAAACAAAAACAAAAAAACCATACTACACAAACTGGAGAGTTGAACAAACACACTCGAATGTTGAATCACTGAAAATTTAGAGGTTACTGAAATCTAATTAAAAAAAAAAGCACGCCAAACCTTATGGGGCACAATAAAAGCATTGCACCGGGATGTTCATGTTACATGATGCAGCAGGGGCAAACCCACAGGAGAGATGAGGGTCGTGGCCCCTAAGTGTAAGTAGGAAAACAGGAAGAGTCCATGAAATGTAGCTTTTTGAGACAAGATCTGAAATCTTTAACCAAATTCATGACAGACATGAACTACCATGCCTGTCCAGGTTTTAATAAAGCACACAGCCTTGCCCGTGGTCCTCTGCCCTCATTTCCTGCCCATTCCACGTGGTCTCATCGGGCTCCTTGAAGTTCCCTAGCATACCAGGCCTCGTTCAAGAGGCCCCACCTGTTCCCTCCACCTGGTACATGCCTCTCAAGTATTCTGTCATCAGTGCCCTCTCAAGTCAATCAGAGCCATCTGTGGAGGTCACATGATCTTTCTAGGTACTTAGCATTAATGCTGATTCTGGCTGTGTTGTAGACCTGCTGGCTAATAGCACTGATCCTGGCTGCAGCGTTTCCCGAGATCTGGACTTGAACTCTGTCTGTGTGGTTTGCAGAAACATTTTAACTTCTTGTTTATTAAAAAACTTTATTGTGTGTGGAAGTGAGGGAGAGGAAAAGGAGGGCAGTCGAGAGAGCATACTAGCTGGCTCAGGTGTGGGAGGTCAAAGGATAACTTTTCTGTTCTCAACCTCAGCCTCGATGCAGAGCCTCTCGTTTCTCAGGTGTCCGTTCATTCCAGGTTAGTTGGCAGAAAGGCTCTGGCCAGTTCTCCAGCTCTATCTCCCATCTGGCCCCAGGAGTTGCGGGGATTATTAATTTGTCACATCATTTATTTTTATTTTTTTTGAGAAAGGGTCTTAACTATGTAGCCTTGGCTGTCCTGGAAGTGGATGTATAGACCAGACTGGCCTCAAACTCAGAAATCGTTCTGCCTCAGCTTGTGAATGCTGGGACTAAGGGCCGCACCACATCAAACAATATCTTACCTTTTTTTTTGTTGTTGTTGTTTTTTTTTTTTTTTTTAAATTTATTTATTATGTATACAATATTCTGTCTGTATCCCTGAAGGCCAGAAGAGGGCGCCAGACCTCTTTACAGATGGTTGTGAGCCACCATGTGGTTGCTGGGAATTGAACTCAGGACCTTTGGAAGAGCAGGCAATGCTCTTAACCACTGAGCCATCTCTCCAGCCCCCTGTTGTTTTGTTTTTTGAGACAGCGTTTCTCTGTGTAGCTCTAGCTGTCCCGAAACTCCTTCTATAGCCCACGCTGGCCCCTTCTTCCAGAACGCTGGGATTAAAGGCATAGGACACCACCTCCCTGCCACCACTGCCCAGCTTCATCTTGCCTTTTTGATTTGGGTTCCTGGAATCAACACTTAGGTCCTAAAGCTTGTGTGGCAAGTGCATCTGATCAGCCCCGTATATTCGAATTTCGGAGTCTCGGTTTCCTCATTCATAACTTGGGAGCCTGTTTCATAAGGAATCTCAGTGAGGAGTAAATGAGGGGCAGAAGGATCACCGTAAGTTGGATACTAGCCTGGTTTACAAGTGAGACCATTTCAAAAAACAAAGAGTACATGCAACATGTAAACCCCAGTTGCCTTTCGCTTGTGCCCTCCAGATCTTACAAGGAGTCCCCCGGGCTAGTGCGATCGCAGTACAACGTTCCCATTTACTTTGAATTATATATCGTTTTAAATATTAACAAATAAGACTTAAAAAGGACACCTTCGGGAAGGTCAGACGAAAGTACAAAAATTGTGTCGTGGCGCTGCAGTTTGAGGATGTACTCTGCAGCCGTCACGTGGTAGCAAAACCGTAAGCAGTGTACGAGTCCGCGTCGACGACAGCCGGAGTCCATGCATCGGGAGGTTCACTTGGCTGGAGGACAAAAGGGCCAGACATGCTTGGCCCAGGCTCGACTGGTAAGCCGGCCGCGGAGGTGCAGCTCCTCGTTCTCGCCACTAGAGGTCAGGAGGTCACCGCCTCAGGCTTGGAAGACGGGCCCGTTTGGGGATTGGCTAATGGTGGTGGTGGGCACCACCAGGATGAGAGGTGGATGCCGAGCTTCGGGAGACGCCCTGGTTACTGACCCGACTTTGGAATGACCTTTGTTTTTGGTATCAAATTTCCTCTCTGTAACGCTGATGGGCCAGAAGCAAGAAACCCGTTTGGGGTGAAAGGATGAGCTGATTCTGAACTTCTCAAAAGGCTTTCCTTTAACACAGATGGAATGACCCAGGGATTTGGAAGTACTCCAGGGCCACGGGAAACTTCCATCACTTTAGTGGGCTCCTGCTTGGGCACTCACACGTGAGCCAATTGGGTAGAAGCCCCATCTCCCACCCTGTCTGTCCCTGGGGTTCACAAGGACCTTCTCTGAAGCTCAAGCCCCCCTATGCCTGGGACAACAGAGGGATCCAGGTTCTTCCACCTGAGCCCTGTTCTCTTGCTGGGCCCCAGTCACCTCATGTCTAGTAAACACTTCTGCATCTTCAGGAGGCTGCCAGGCTCCTTTCAGAACAGGGCTTCCCAAAGGGCAAATACTGAATTACTCAGAGCTCAACAAGGTGCGTTGAACACCTTCCTGGGGCCCCCATAAGCTCCGGTTTTTAGCTGTGTGGGGAAACTGGCAGCCTTGACACTAAGTCCCTTGACCTCAGACTGGGGGCAGGGCAGCTGAGTTCCAGGGCTTGGCTCTGGCCTTCTGGCAAACTCTAAATGGCACAGGTGATTTCAATACCAGCTAGAGGGCGAGGAGGCGGGTAAAAACAAGACTCCTCTGCAACAGACTTCAAGTCTCAGCGATTCAGTAGGGAAAGGAGCCTTACCCTCAAACAGTTAAAGGGTTTGGAGTTGTCTTGTTTCAGCTCCTCCCAGTTTGGTGGCCCTAGAAGTTTTTCAACTTTTCTGAGATCATTTCACTTATAAAATGGGCTGACCAAGCCACCCGCCACACAAGATGGTGAAGATTCAATAAGGTGCCTGCCAATTCTGTAACATAGGCAAAAACCTTTTGAAGAAGGAAATCCAGTCTCTATAAGCAACAGGTGGGTGCGTAGGGAATAGAGACCTATTTTCCCTGCCAAGTGGGGAAGGCTGGTGAGTGCTTGGGATTGGAATTGTGACCCGGGACCCTGGATCCTTATTTTAGCTGAAGGAAGGTGCTGGGCTTAGGGCAGGACATCTTCCCTCTCAGGACCCCCAAGCCTTGCTACCCAGAGATGGGTTGAGCAAAATGGGGCTTTGGAATGATGGTAGAACTCCTTAGGTCTTCGTTCCTCCTCTCTTCCTGGAGCCCTAGTTGGCAGGAGACATTTGGGGGCTTCAAGATTGAGATGTGTCCCACCCTATCCCAGAAAGTAAGGTCAGAGCTCTCAGCTCCGGAGGGCAGAAGCCCCACCCCCACCCCTTCCCCCAAACAAAGTTCTGTCTTCCACTGCTATTCCTGAAGGCAACCCACTGTCTTGATAGATCCAGGATGCCTGCCATGGAGTGTTGAGGGACCCAACACCAGCCTGAGCCGTGGAGATGAGGAAGAGAGAGGTGGGTGTCTCTCTTCATGCTAGTAAAATTCCTTTCTCTTCTCCCTGAAGCCGAGGGAAAGAGACTTCTGCTGAGAACAGGAGCAGGGTGCATTGAGGCCCCTTGGGAGCAAGATCAAATGGGAGAGCTTGGGTTTGAACAGTCAGCCTCAGTTTCCCTATAGTGCTTGTACACATCAAGCCCAGATCCTGCCTAAAAACCTAATGCTGCCCCAGACCAACCCCAGATCCCCACCCATGACTCTGTCCCAGTCTCGACACCTACCCCAGGCCTCCTACTCCCTAAAAACCTAATGCTGCCCCAGACCAACCCCAGATCCCCACCCATGACTCTGTCCCAGCCCTGACACCTACCCCAGGCCTCCTGCTCTCCGTATTTGGCCTTCTCTTAGCTTCAAAGCCACAGCTGGCTTTTCCAGGCCGTGCTGAGTCCTGACTCCCCCAAGATGCCCAATCTGTCCTCACCCTCTGGCAGTCAGCGGTACCCACAGCCCCTGCAGACAACCGGCTGCTCCTGTATGCCTCACCTCTTTGTGGTAATGTGTTCACCCAGATCCCCTGCTAGACAAGGACTCCCTGCCCCGGGGGCTCGGACTCTTTCTGTCTGTCCATCGAAGCCTGGCGTGAGTAAGTTGGGAGCCCTAGTTGACTACATGGCCTGTCCTAGAGTCCTGGGCTCCATCTGCCCGTAGTCCTTCCCTCTGGGGTCTCCAGGCAGCCAGAGTACCCCCACTTCTGTGCTTGCAGCATGTGTTCTGCCCCTTACCTCCCCAACAGGTCCTCACCCTAGATAGCCCTTCTTCTGGGCGGAGCTGAGGGTGAAGACTTCTTCCAGCTCCAGCCCTCCTAGGTCCCAGGGGGTTGAAACAGGTCCAACGTTGTGTCTTCCTGTCCCTGGGAGGCGGGGGGGGGGGGGGGGGGGCTGGATTCTCTATGGCCTCCAAGCAGGGGCTGCAGTGGCTATGTCCGAGCAGACAACCTGGATCTTGCCCATTGTGAGGGCCACAGCCCTTGACGGCAGCTGAGAAGGCCCAGGGCAGGGCCTGTGTGGGCTGGGTGGCATGGGTGGGTGGCAGCAGATGGGGCAGTCAGTCGCTGAGCACAGCTCCCGGGAGCTCGTTGGTGAGCGTGTGCCAACGCTCAATCCTTTTGTCCTTGTTCTTCAGACAGTCAAACCAGTGCTTCAGGCGCTCACCCTTGGCGTTGATACCCAGAACCACTCCGCCTGTGGAAGAGGCCAGGGCCACCAGGGACTCAGCAAGCCAGTGTCTGGGCCTCCCTCCTGCCCACCTGACCGAGTGGGCATATTCTTCCTCTGCCAGGGACCAGAGCAGTGTGGGGCAGGGTGCCATGACACATATTAGGGACAGAAATGGGAAGGGCTGCAGTGGCCCACTGTGCACCAATGTCACACCCACCAGAAGCTTGTGGTCACCTGGGCTCTGAGTTCAGCGCCAAGTGCCGATCACTCCCAGGTCCCCCACAAGCGGCTGTGAGCCCTTCCCAGGCCTCCTTCCCTCTCTGGGCCTGTCTCTTGTCACATGAGAACAGTTTGGAAAGTGTCTGAGGTCCTACTCACTAGGGGTAAGTGGTTCTTGGACCCATATCTGCCCAGAACAGGCACACGGCTAAGCAGCATTTCCCTTGTATTCCTTACCGATAAAATCATTGGATTTTCCAATGTCATAATCCCAGACAGTGACCTCCAGGGTCTTCTTGGCCAGGTCTCCATGCTTGATCTCATAACAGAACTCCTGCTGGCCAGAAGAGGGTGTTAGAGCCAAGATCACATGGCTGAGGGGTCTGTGATGTGCTGAAGGATGGCACTGGGCAGTGTGGGATGCCCTCTGGCCAGTCTGCCCACTTCCGCCTGGTGGGAGACTAGCCAGGCCCGCCCTCCACTCACCTGCCCTTCTCTCCCAGAAGCTGCTCCCAGAGGCTGCTAGAATGCTTGGCTGCAATTAATCGTCCAATAGAGTTTTTGTCATCCTTCCCTTGTCCCCTAGGGCTGGCCTTGCTATCTGCTCTTTCTGTGAATCCCTGACTGAGAGTGAGGCCTGAGGCACTCTGCCTTTCTTCTCAGTGAAGACCCCGAGATCTGTGTGCCGCCCTCTGCTCTGAGGGCCTTCTCATCTACAAAGTTCAAGCTTGAGAACTGTGCAATTGATTTCCAAACAGAAACTGCAAAGAGTCCCACAGTATTTCGGTAAGTTTACGGCTGTCTGTTGACGGCATTCACAGCTGTCCTGCCGCACCTGCTGGGTGTCTTGAACCCTCACGTTCTACCTAAAGTGTCCTCCCATGTTCTCCACACCTCCCTTCCCATCCCTGTCATCTAGAAGGGAACCCAGGGGCTGCTCAACATTCTCTCTTTTCACCCCTACCTCTATCAACAAGACCTTTTAGAAGGTTCCTTCATTCCATGAGCTTCCCCATTGCTGAACAGTCTAGGGGAACCTTACCCACCATGGCTGAGGGCTCTTTCTGGGAGCTGCTCCCCATCCTCTCTTACCACTTTCCAGTTCCCACAGTGCCCCTTTGAAAACCAGGACCCTTCAGACCCTCACCCAGCCCAGGGGGGCCCCACAACCCCTCACCAGTCACCCCCAGCCTGGCCATACCTCATTGAACTCTGGGTTTAGTGTTTTCTTTTTCACCGCAGTCTTGTGCTTGGATTTCTTGTCTACATCTGGCTTCAGGTATCTGGAATGATAACTGGGGACAGTTAGAGGCCGGGCAGAGCCGTCGACTGCACATGGTGCTAGCACACTGCTACGGGACACAACCCTGGTGACCTTTGTCCTAACCCTGAAGTGCCAGTCTGCCCACCTTCGGCAACACTGAGGTGGCTGCATGGTCACCTGAGCACACCTTCTGAGCGTGCCCAGAAGAAGAGGATGTGTCTTTTCTCTGGAAATCTGATCTTCACAAAGTTCACACCTCCCACAGGAAAGCTAGTTTTGAAAAGCAGTTTTTCTCTTTTCAGGAATTGTTGTTAGGTTTTTTGTTGTTGTTGTTTTTGTTTTTTGTTTTTTTTTTTTTTGTTTTTTAGTGGGGGCAGGGAATGGGAAACATTGCAGTACTGAACCTGAGCTCTCATGCATATAAGGCAAGTGCTTTAAACTGTTCTTAGCTCCAGCTCCAAGAGCTATGAGCTTCCACAGTGCCCCCACACCAGATTTACTAAGAATTCACACACCATAAACTCCATTTTTCTCAAGGGTAAAATCCAGTTTTTCAGCACATCCCTCGAGCTGGGTAAGCCTCTCTCCTCTGTAGGAGCCTGGAGGAAGTTCCTTTTTCGGCAGTTCTCAGGGATGACCCTCCAGGGGCGGGAAAGCTTGTGCCCTGCCCTCCTTAGGCTTTTCCTTTTTCTTTTCAAGACAGGGTTTCCCTGTGAACCTGTTACTCTCATGGAACTCACTCTGTAGACCAGGCTAGCCTTGAACTCAGAGATCCACCTGCCTCAGCCTCCCAAGAGCTGGGATTAAAGGCGTGAGCCTGGTCCCTCTTTAGGCTTTAATCTACTTTAGGTCCAGAAAGTCCAGGTGGCTTGCCCAAGGTCGCAGTTGGCAAGAGTGGTGCTTGGAAGCCAGGCTCAGTCTCCTTTCTCCGAGACAGGGAGGCCATGCACAGACTGGGGATGCAGGAGGCCTCTGAACTCTCTTTTGCAAAATCTCTCACCCTGTCCACGCACAGACAATTGTGTGACAAATGCCTTGTTTCTGCTAAGTGTGCTCTGCTCAGTGGCTGGCACTGGGGACCTCAACACAGTAGAAGACTAGCTTCCTAGAGGTTTAACTGTTCAAAGTCATGCTCACAATAGTCAAGGTTCTTGCATACGTTTTGCCAAACTTTGCCCACGGAAAAACTGAGTGCCGTTGTTTAGAAATCCTTACTGGAAGCCCAGCAGGCTGCTGGGGGCTTTGTACTTGCTGCCTGAGCCCACCCATGTGAGTGTGGACACTAACCCCCTCCCGCCCAGTACGCACAGACTGGAAGGGAGAAAGGATTCCTACAAGTTGTCCTCTGACCGCCACGTGCACGAACATTTGCTGTCAGTCTCCTAGGACGGCTAGGATAACCCTGAACTCCCGATCCTCCTGCCTCCAGTTGCTAAGCACTAGTATTGCAGATGTGACAACCACATCCAGCTTCAAGTTGAGGTTCTGCTGCATACACAATACCGGCTTGTTAAAACAGATCTTAGAAAATGCATGCTAACAAAGGTTGGTGGGAAGGGAGGGGAATGAAGATATATATGGACACAGACACTTCTGGATTTGTTTTGTATCTGTCACATAGTTTGCTACACAGCCTGGCTTCCCTGGCACTCTGTGTGCAGCTCAGGCTGGTCTTAAACTCCCCACCCTCTGCCTCCACCTCCCAAGTGCTGAGGTTTCATGTATGCACAGCCTTGCCCAGTTTACAAATTACATGCTAACAGTCGCTTTACACACAATCATCCAAAGTTTAAACAACCTACATGTTCTTTAACTGGCAAAGTAACAATGAACCCATGCTTTATATACACGCGACTAACAATGAACCCATGCTTCACATACATGCTGAAAGCTACACAGCCATATCAAAGATGAAGTCTCCGGTGCATATACTGTGTGGGTGGGTGAACTTGGACAGAGCACCCGTGCAGGTGAAGCCCGCCTGAGGCAGCATCTATCTGGTGTTTGATGTGAAATGTGGGAAGGGGAACACTACTGGGAAAGCTAGTCTGAGGATGCCCAGGGCTAAGGAGCTCCTGGGAAAAGAGCAAAACAGCTGGCCTTCTGTACCCATCGGTCCTAGACCCTCAGATTCAACCGAGGGTTGGATTTGTTGGCACTTGCCTGGAATTCCAGTTCTTGGAAGGCTGAGGCAGGAAGATTAGAAGTTCATGGCCTGCCTAGTGCACATAGTGAGACCCTGCCTCCACCCCCACTCCTCACCCTCAAAGAAAAGAAAAGGGAAGAAACTTCACCATTACTCAGAGATAGGTAACAAGTATTGATGTGGTCCCAGGGACAGGGAGGAGCTCCGAGCTGTCAAAGTACCCTGCTTCCATCAGTTTGCCTGTGCAAGTCAGCACCGAGGGAGCCCAGGTTTGGGGTCACCCTTCATACAACCTGCAGTTGGAGTTCACCCAGCAGATTGGCACTGAACACAATTTAAAATGTTCACGCCATGTTGGGGTTCTGCATCTCATTTCTGTCTCCCGGGACATGTGGTGTGACAGGTGCAGGTGACGCATGCCGCTGACCCTCCAATCCTGCTCCACTCAGGAAGGCCAGCACCCCTAGTCTCCTGGCACTGGCACTGGCCCTGCGTCCTCCTCCAACTTGCTTGTGAGCCTGGATCCCTACTGACCTTGCCTCCCTAGGCTCAGGTCTGACTCTAGCTCCACACGTCCATGTGTGGTGGTTCACACCTTCAACTGCAGCGGCCAGGAGGTAGCAGCAGGATCTGGCTACACAGTAAACTCAAGGGTAGCCTGCTATACACGTGACCATGTCCCCCATCACCAAAAAGAGATGACCATTTTCTCTCCCAGTGGGAGACCCTTCTGCAGGCTTCAGTTTCCTTATCTATGAAATGGGATGATTGCACGTAGCTCCAGAGTCAACAACGACAACAACACACAAAAGAAAACACCCTGGTGAATAAAAGCCCCGTTGCTCTGAGGCAACCCTCTTAGGGCTTGTCATGCTGCTCCAGCTCTGGCCATGGAGGACTCTAGCTCTTCCTGGTGAGCAGGGGAGTCAGGCACAGGCCTGGGCGCACACTCACGTTTTCACGTAGGGGTCCGAGTAGCCGTTAGCGTCCATGGCAGCCAGGTGTGCACAGCGCACGATGCCCACCAGCAGGCCCTGCTTCTGGGAGCTGTACTTGAGTGAGATGAGGATGCGGCCTCGCTCCTCCAGGGACTTGTCCTCTGCCTTGTCCACCTACAGGAGAGGGTCGTCACTCCACTGTCTTTGTCTGCTTCTACCTTATTGGCTAAGCAGTGAGGCCACCCATAATCTCACCCACTAGTGTCTACTTGCTAGTGCTCAGCTAGGCTTGGACATACAGGGATCTATGGAACCTGGGGGCTGGGGGTGCAGTTCAGTGGTACCCACTTGCCTGGCACAAGTGAGGTCCTTGGCGCCATTTCTAGCTTGGAAAGGAAGGGAGGGAGAAAGGGAGGGAGGGAGGTAAGGAGGGAAGGAGGGACGGAAGGAGAGAAGGATGTGGGGAAAGGGAGGAAGGGAGACAGGCAGGCAACTTCTGTGTCCTTAAGTAAATTTTTTCTGGAACACAGTCTGGCCATTTCCATCTCTGCCGCAGATGTTTTTGCCTACAGCAGGAGAAGTGGGTGGCAGCGACAGAGAGGGCCTGGTCTTCAGGGCCTGATGCATTTGTCATCCGGGTAGGAAGCCTGCCCCAGCCTGCTCTACCTTCTTCACACCCAAGCCTTCTCTGTGGACTTCAGCTCTGAGCTGGTGCCCTCTTCCATGTCTTTGCTTAATCTCACCTACTCCCGGAAATGTTGCAGGGTACCCCGGCCCCCAGCCTGAATGACAGAGCTTTGCTACCTTCTGAGCCCCAGGCAGCTGGGAACCTGATAAGAGATCCACTTTAGGGTGAGATGTTACCTCTAGGCCTCCACATCTCCCCCTCCATGTCCTGACAGCTAGAGTCTGTCTTCATTTCCCATCCTCCCCCAAAGTCACCCAGACACGCACAGTTGGAAGCCCCGTTCCCTGAGTGCCCCTCCTCAGGGTCTGCCAGGCTCTTCTTCTATAGGCTCAGCCTTTGCCTGCAGCTGTGCTCTGCTTGGGGCTGACCTGAGTTCCCACGTGGCCAGGTCCAAACCTCACTGGAGATGAGAGAGTTCCGTGAGGTGAGGAAGGGAGGCCTGTGACCCACAGGCCTTTCTCCGAATTTCATGTCCAGAGCAGACATGGCTAATTGATCCCAGCATTCACTCAATTCAGACACAGCCTTGGCTTCCTTCTCAGCCCAATGCTCAGACAGTCATGACCAATGGTGCAGATTTGGGAGCCTGGGCTCTACATGGAGTACATACGAGCAGAGATGTTTTCAAGGGCAGATGACACTACCGTACTTTACACTGTTGTGTCTGACCGCCTCCTAACCAGGTATTTAGTTAGAATAAGTAGTATAAAATCTAAAACCACCAACTGTGTCCTTATGACCACAGTGGTTATCTCAAACGTCACTCCTGTGGTCACTGTGTATCTCCAAGATAGCCAATGAGCAACATAGCAAATTCAGGGGAGGCTTAGCAATGGCCAAAGTATGTCTCAGGAACACTAACAACACACAAGCATTCACACAAATGTACACACATTTACACACAGTATGCACATGTGTACATTCCCTACTTATTCATACATTCATGTACACAGAGTCTTGGGTTTTTTGTTTTTGTTTGTTTGTTTTTCAAGACAAGGTTTCTCCATGTAGCCCTGGCTGTCCTGAAACTCATTCAGTAGACCAGGTTGGCCTCGAACTCAGATCCACTTGCCTCTGCCTCTCAAGCGCTGGGATTAAAGGCGTGCGCCACCATGCTCCACCAGAGTCTCATTTATATCTGAGGTCAGAACTCATGGACAACAAAGCACCACAGGCGCTGGTCATGCCTTCCTGAGGTGTAGGCCATTTAGAAAATTTGGGTCACCCCTGGCAAGTGACTACCACCACATCAATGAAGGTTCTACCCACTGCATATCCATGCACCGAGTGGAAAGTGGTGTGAGAATACAATCTGAGAGCGCCTCGCACCAAGGTAGTGTCTCAGCCACAGGGTGGATTCCCAGGGCTGGGGTCCTGGGCTCTAGACCCTGCCAAGCCTGGCGTACAGGGGTTAAATGCTGGACTTCCTCCTCATTGCTGTTCCCTTGGCTCAGGAATGGGGGAGAAGTCATATCCTGAGCATTGGGCAGCGGAGGGCTTAGCTTGTCTCCCGGCCCTGCACACTGGGGCTCCCCAGGACTCTGAGAAGGAGAGGTGAGAAGAGAAGGTGAGCAGCAGAGTAGCTGGACAGAAACAGACACCAAGACCCTGGGAGGGCTCAGCTGCTGAAGGCAACTGGGCCAAACTGGTGCTGACATCACGGTGAACCATTACAATGTCTAGGAGAGAATTATGCGCTGTCACCTCTGGGCATTCATGGCTCTCCTGGCCTAACATGTCCCAACTGAACTGCCCCCAGTGAATGGTTCCTTCCTCCCTCTGTTACCCAGGCCCCAGACCTGGAGCTGCCCTGGCAGGCAGACCTTCGTCCCCATTCAGCCCCCATTCTATCTGGTTCTTGGCCCCAGCCCTCACCTCTCTCCTCTCTTTGCTTCTGGTCTTCTGAGTCCAGCAGGCAGGGAGTCTCTTAAGGTGTCACCATTCCCTGCCTCGTGTCACAGACTTGTACTCTTAGCTATTGAGAAAGCTGAGACAGGAGGATCAAGAGTTCACTGCCAACCTGGGCTACAGAGCAAGTTCAAGGCCGGCCTGGGGAACAGAGCAGGACTCCGTTTCCTATGAAAATTAGAGGCCGGGCGATGGTGGCGCATGCCTTTAATCCCAGCACTCGGGAGGCAGAGGCAGGTGGATCTCTGTTTGTTCGAGACCATCCTGGTCTACAGAGCTAGTTCCAGGACAGGCTCCAAAGCCACAGAGAAACCCTGTCTCGAAAAACCAAAAAAAAAAAAAAAAAAAAAGAAAAAAAGAAAATTAGAAGGGGGTGGGGAGATGGCTCAGTCAATCAAGTGCTGGCTGTGTAAGTTTGGATTCCTAGCATCCTTGGAAAGCTGGGCATAGTGGCACAAATCTGTAACCAATGGGTGGAGACAAGAGCATCCTAGCTCACTGGCTAGCCAGACCAGTTAGTGAGCACTGGGCTCAGGGAGGGACCCTGTCTCAAAAACTGAGGTGGAGAGCAATTGAGGAAGCACTCATGGTGATGGCAGGCCTACACATTCACACATGTATCCACTGCACACACACTCAATAGACTACACACTCACACACACACACACACACACACACACACACACACACACAACACTACACACACGAAAACTTTAAAATTCTTAAACATAAAAATTTAAAAGGGCTGAGGGTAGCTCAGTGGAAGAGTGCCTAGAATATATCATCAGCGCATAGCAGAAGCTCATAGTAAACTCCCGCTGGTTGGGGGGCCAGACCCTGGCTCCACTCACCGGCAGCTGCTTCTCCAGGCAGATGCTGAACGTCTTGGTGTGGTTGGGCTTCAGCTTCTTCAGGGGCACGCGAGTCTCGCCGATGAACTCATTGTGGCGGAATTTGTCCTCATCACACACGGAGATCCTGGGGGCGATTGGCTTCCACAGTCAGTGGGAATTCACAAGTGGTAGGGTGTCCCCGGATGGGGTGGAGGCACGGGGGCCCTCACCCACCTCAGGGTCTTTCGGATCATGTCCTCGTCCGTGATCCCGTAATAAGTGAGGGTCTCGTTCCATGTGGGGTTCAGAGTGTTCCTCAGAGTTTTTGTTCTGAGCTTGTTTGCCTAAAGAGAGAGAGAGAGGGTGATCTTATTGGTACTGAATGAGTGTGGCTGAAAAGCTGGTCAGCCTGCTCCCTCCCCATGGAGATGCTACCTGACCCAGTGGGGGAGACCTGAGGCAGAAGGTGAAACTAACACTGTTAATTAGTTAACATAAAAACAGCAGGCTTGCTGGACGGTGGTGGCACATGCCTTTAATACCAGCACTCGGGAGGCAGAGGCAGGTGGATCTCTGTGAGTTTGAGGCTAGCCTGGTCTACAAGAGCAAGTTCCAGGACAGGCTCCAAAAGCTACAGAGAAACCCTGTCTCAACCCTCCCCCACCAAAAAAAACCACAGCAGGCTTAGCAGGGCAGTGGTGGTGTATGCCTTTAATCCCAGCACTCGGGAGGCAAAGGGAGGCAGATCTCTGTGAGTTCGAGGCCAGCCTGGTCTACAGAGAGAGTTCCAGGACAGATTCAGAGCTACAAAGAAACCCTGTCTTGAAAAACAAACGAAACGAAACTACCCAGCAAGCTTACTGGAGACATGTGAATGGCCCCTGTGGTCACAGAGGTCTTTGACAGCAAAAGATAACCAAGAGAGACAGTATCACACAGTCGGGAGCTCAGCTGGCTTCAGACACAGGTCGGGGCCTCAGCTGGGGAAGTAGGTAGCCTCTAGTTAAAAAGGAAAGGGAATGGCTGTCCCCAGAATGGACCAGCCATGGCTGGCATCTTGTCTTCTGGTACAGTCAGTGCAACCTGTCTTGCTGACGACCAGGAACGGGGAGGCGAGGAGTGTGTTTAAATGGCCAAGCTGTGGAATTTGTTGAGGTAACCACAGAAGTAATGTGAGGAGCATCCTGACCCCAGACCCTGATGACAACAGCACGGTAGAGGTGATTGCTATGGGGTGGGCAGTTGCCATGCTTACTCATTCCCATTAGGAAGTTGAAGTGTTCAGTTTAATAGGAATTAGTTTAACCAAAGCTGCCCCCACCCCATTACAAAAGAGTTCCATATCAAGACTGGCCATGTTTCCAAAACTGGACCCCTTTCCTGGATCACCTTGTGTCCCCATCCTCCCCTGCTGTACTCTGACTGATGCTGCCTGGGATCCATACTTTCCTAGTGAAAGCCTTGTGTTTGCATCTGCTTGCTGGGCCACCCTGAAGGGAGGCAGGAACAGCGATTCTGTGGTCAAATACACCAAGCTAATGCTACCCACTCAGTCCCCTTATGAAGCCACAGAATGGCCCGTCAACACACTGAGGGCTCTGACAGGTCCTTCCACCAAGAAACCTCTGTAACAGTCTTTCCTTTTTAGGAAGGTGTTATGCATCCCTGACTGACCTGGATTCCACACATCTGTAGACTCACAGGGATCTGCCTGCCTCTGCCTCCTGAGCGCTGCAGTTAAAGGTGTGCGCCGTCACACCTGATCCCATAGAGTCTTTTGTCCCCCTATGTAATATGAACCGCAGGCTAAAATGGCTTCCTATGAAATGTAACCCGAATGTTCTCAGCAGATTGGTAATGGACTCATGAGGTCCTAGGGAGGCCAAGCCAATGCCATGTCTGGGGCAGAAACCCTCACCTTGCTGGCTCCAGGCAGCAGGTGTAGTTTGACGTAGGGATCAGCCAGTCCATTGTGGTCCATCGGCTTCAGGCCCTGAGCAGAAACCAGAGAGGATGAGAGCTAAGAGTAAGGACGCCAAGCGCCTGCTGATTGGGCCTCCTCCCTGGTATCTTCAGTTTCCCTGAAGATGGGAAGTTCTCAAGGACCAAACAGTGCTGGCGGGCATAAGCTTCCCTTCTCTCGGCCCCCTCCAGGTCCTTTCACTTCCTCCCTTCTGGACAACTGAACCCAGAGGACATACTTCACTGTAAACTTGGGGAGGCCGGTCTCTCTTCCCACTTCCCGGATGCCACCCCTTGTTGGGTCTTCCTTCTCTGACCCAAGTCTCCATGATTTGGCTACATACTCATCCTCAAGTTCCTTGTGGTACTTGGAAAGCACTTTGTTCCGAGTATGGGAGGCCAGCTGAGACTGCCATTTCCCTCTGCCTTTGCCAGTCGGTGTCCCTGAAGTCACAGGCTGCCTGCCATGGAGGGTCCTTCCACAAGGTGGCACCCCTTGCTAACTTTGATTTTAGTTGCCAGCCCAGGAATGTACAGCTCAGGGGAGGGGCCCACAAGGGCCTCAGCTAACCTGGGACTTGTGTACTCCTTTCAGAGGTGAAGGCCTGCAGGGGCTGGGGAAGCAGCAGAGGGGTACATGGCCTACATTCCACGTGGGTGAGAGAGGGATGGCTCTGCTCCTGCTACGTACCCCAGACCTTTCTCCCAGGCCTGGCTCTACAGGCTTGGGCAAGCTTCCACGCAGGGCGCCCACCCAACATTTCTCTTCTGCTGTGGCCCCAGGCCCAAGTTTGGGAGTTAGCGGACCAGGCATTGGCCGGCTCAGCTTTATCCCGGGTAAAGAGCTAACCATTCCCACAGGCTGGTGGAACAGAGCCTGGAGGGACACAGACGCAGGGCTGAGGGTGAGACTTCCCTCCCTGCCCCTCCCCCCCCCCCCCCCCCCCCCCCCGGGAGATTTCAGAGAAGTAGCAGGGGGAAGGGTGGGGATTTAAGCCAGGCCTCAGGGTACAGGGGCTTGACCTGGAGGCTGTGTGTGTGTGTGTGTGTGTGTGTGTGTGTGTGTGCCTTGGTGAGGGTGGCCATTCACATCCTGCTCGCTTTCCCCTGCTAGCTTCTTACCCCCAGGCAGTAAAGAGCAGGTGTCCTGGGGAGCTGATGGCCCAGCCTGAGTAGGGGACAGCTGAAGGCTCCTGTTTCATTTCTATAATTCCTGCACGCCAGTTCATCATGTTTACAATGTTTTACTATTTTTCTTTTTCCTTGTATACCTTTGAACTGGGAGGTTAACCAGAGATACTGTGAGTCCCACTTCTAAGGCCCTGGAGCACCCATGCAGGCTGGTTGGGGGAGGGGCAGCTGCCGCGCTAAGGTGACAATGGTGCCTGCTCTGCCTGTTGGGTCCCCTGCCTGTGATGTGGTCCCTGCTGTTACATCCACATCCTTCTACCTGGTAGGTACCTGGACACACACTGAGCTAGAGGCAAGGGCTGGTGGGCTCAGCTCAGTTCTTACACTGACTCCCCTAACTCAAGCAGCCTCGCTTGACCCTACAGCATGGCAAGGTCCCCTAGAGGAGTACGCACAGCCCCCAGGAGCTGACTGAATTCAGCAGAGGGGGCAGGAAGCTGAGTTCAGCAGGATGTGGAAAGGGGTTGTCTCTGGCAGGTCCCATCAGCTTATTGTGTTTCTAATGGATAAAAGCAGATGCCCCTGTCTTAGAGAGGGGCAGGGGAGGTGCTCTATGGGATGGTACTACTAGCAGCGAGGGGACAGGAAGGAATGGCAGATTCCCTTCAAACCAAGTTTCTGTTGTCCCTACACATCCAGAGGTTACTGTTCACCAGGCATTTGGGAGTGAAACCTTCTGGATAGTCAAAGCTGAGGCTCTCAGTGCTCAGCACGAAGAAGAGGGACAGACACCAGCTGGTGAGAAGGACAGAAACTGTATGACTTTGTGCCTACAAGATCCCTGGAGACAGTGGGGAGGGGCAGCTTGGGTCAGGCAAGGAGAGGTACGGAGTTTCAGTCTGGCAAGCTGAAAGGGCTCTGGGATGGACAGTCACGTAACACAGCCATTCGAGTGGGCTCAGCATTCCACTGCTAAGTTTCACATGTGTGATATTTTTATCACAATTAAGAAGCAATATTGTGTCAGGTGATGGTGGTCTACGCCTTTAATCTCAGCATTCGGGAGGCAGAGGCAGGTGGATCTCTGTGAGCTCCAGGACAGCCAAGGCTACACAGAGAAACTCTGTATAGGAAAAATCAGGGTGTGGTGAAGTAACATTGGTCTTTCAGCACTGTGGCTCTTAGGGGTTTTGTTGGGCACTGTTTGGAGGGGAGTGCCCAGGTCCACCTGTGGACAGATGCATTCTCACCTGGAGGGTGCGGGTGACTAAGAATCCTGGTTAGTTGTATATCAACCTGGTGCAAGCTAGAGTCATTGAGAAGAGAGCACCTTAACTGAGAAAAATGTGCCCACCAGATTGGTCCGTGGGCAAGTCTGTGGGGCATTTTCTTTTTTTTTTCTTTTCTTTTTTTTTTATATATTTATTTATTTATTTATTTATTTATTATGTATACAGTATTCCTTCTGTGTGTATGCCTGAAGGCCAGAAGAGGGCACCAGACCTCATTACAGATGGTTGTGAGCCACCATGTGGTTGCTGGGAATTGAACTCAGGACCTTTGGAAGAGCAGGCAATGCTCTTAACCGTTGAGCCATCTCTCCAGTGTGGGGCATTTTCTTGACTGATGATTGATGTGGCAGAGCCCCGCTCACTGTGGGTGCTGCTACCCCGGGCTGGTGGTCTGGGCATGTGTAAGAAGGCAGGCTGAGCAAGCCATGTGGAGCAAGCCAATTAGCAGCACTCCTCCATGGGCTCTGCACCAGCTCCTGCCTCCAGGTTCCTGCCCCAGCTTCTCTGGATGATAAACTACAAGCAGGACGATGAGATAAACCCTTCCCATCCCAGGCTGCTTCTGCTCAGGGTTTTATGACAGCAACAAACAACGAGCTAAGACACCAGGTGAGAGTGGAGCCTGAGAAGTCCATAGTCAATGGATTCTCCGAGAGGTTCTGAGTGGGAGCCCTGCTTCAGCTTACACTCTGAATCCCCTTTGGGATCCCAGTATTTCCCACGTCTGTCTCCTGTTTTGTAGACATTTACAGAGAAGAACAGGACCACCATGGTTCAGAGGCCTCTGGTCTCCTGCTTACACCAGTACCCATGTAAATCTGTGCGTACAGGCACAGAGACACATACAGACACACACACACACACACACACACACACACACACACACACACACACCTGCTGCAGGGAAGAAGACAGCAGGAACCCCGGGCTCTGAGATGGGGAGGAAAAGCTGGGAAAGCTGGGCTCCTCTAGAGTGGTCTGACTGCTGGCCCCCAAGCACAGACAAGCTCTAAGCCAGGAGTGGGGAGGAGGGGCTCTGCCTGGCCCTGCAGCCTGCCTCCCCATTTCCAGGCAAGGGTCATCAGGAGCTCTGCTCTGTTCCCTAGGCTATCACAGATTAAAGGTGCCAATGGAGTGGACAGAGACCAGGGAGGAGTGACTAGGCCATCAAGTACCCAACCTGGGCCCCAGGCCTAATGTAGACCATTCTCACACTGGCCTTCCACATGAGTGACCCAGGCTGGGTAGGGGTACGGCGCCGGTGTCCCTCTAGGCAGGCACAGAGCCAAGGGCAGCCCCTCAGTGGTAGCGAGGGTCGGAAAGAAGCTGCAGGTCGGGGATGCTGGGTGAGGTCTAGGCCTGTCAGCACTAGAAGCCACTCCATGGGTGTTGGGCTGACCCAGGCCGTCCCACAGCCCTGCTGGAGTCTCTACTGACCACATAGGTCCTTACCTTTCGGGAAAACATCAACTTGGGCACCTTCCTCCCAGAGGGAGCAGTGTAAGGGGGACAATGAGGTTGAGAACATGGGACAGATACAGGTTCAAGAGCAGATCTGCAGAGGAGCCCAGGGGAAAGGCCCTGGTCAGGCCACACTGGGTCTGCAGATGGCCCTGGCTCCTCCTCAGCAAGGCTCATGGGGCCTCTGATGCTAAGGCCCAATGGCTACCACCCTGCCTGGAGCCTAGCTGTCTTCAGTGGCACCTGCGGCTTTCATCATAGGAGCTGCTTAGGGGCTGGAACTTCGGAGCGGGGAGATCTAGAGATGGTGGCATCCAATCATCCTCCCCCCCACCCCCCCGCTGTAAGATAAGCCCTCCACCTTCCCCCTTCTTCAGGGATCATTCCCAGGCTCTAAAAGCTGCCTGGCCTTCTGCCTTTCCCACTGTCTCCTTCTGAAACTCCTTTCCCCAAATGCTTTACTGGGTTTACTGGGCAGGGCCAGTCTGGGAAATGGGCAGCTGCACTCCACACAGCAGGGACACCAGGAAGCCTGGACATAGAGGCTAGACAGGACCCTGCCCCCTTCCTGAGGCTCGAGCTGGGGTTGGTGCAGGGCTTACCTTGGCCTTGCTGATGGTGCAGTGCAATGCGTTGTTCTCCTGGTCATAGAGCAGACTGAAGTCCAGGGTACCCAGGGCGGCTGTGGGAGAAGGAGATGTGGGTCAGCACCAGGTGGCTGGGGGGAGCAACACCCTCCCTGTGGGGCTTCAAGAGCCGCATTATCGTTACTTAACGTGAGTTTATTTGTGCATATGTGTACACATACATGTGGCAGGATATGCATGTGGAGGCCAGAGGAAAACTTGCAAGGGTTCGTTTTCTTCTTCCACCATGTGGTGTATGGAGCTTTAATTCGGGTCACGGGAGTTGGTAGCTGAATTGTCTCGCTGGCCCAACAGTCACATTGCTATCAAGATTAAAAGATTTATTTGGTGGTGTCTGCTTTTAGTCCCAGAACTTGGGAGGCAAAAGAAGGTAGAGCCCTTTGAGTTTGAGATCTACAAAGTGAGCTCCAGGTTAGTCAGAGCAACTCTTTTTTCAAGACAGGTTTCACTGTGGTTTTAGAGTCTGTCCTGGAACTAGCTCTTGTAGACCAGGCTGGCCTCGAACTCACAGAGATCCGCCTGCCTCTGCCTCCCGAGTGCTGGGATTAAAGGCGTGTGCCATCATCACCTGGCATAGAGCTACTCTTTCAAAAACAAACATATAAATAAATGAATAAACAAATAAAGTTTATTTAGAAGAACCATAAGGCAAATATGTCCATCACAGTCCTTAGAATATATGAACATGGGAGGATGGAGAGACAGCTCAACAGTTAAGGGCACTGTCTGCTCTCCGAGGTCCCAGGTTCTGTTGCCAGGACCCACATAGTGGCTCACAACCATCTGTAACTCCAGTTCCAGGGGACCTGACTCTCCCTTCCAGTTCGGTGAGCACCAGGCATTACACTGCTACACAGAAATACATGTAGACATAATAACGATATAAATAAAATAAATAATAAGCAAATAAATAATTTAAAAAAGAATGTATGATCATGAATCTGTGGAGAAGCTGGTTTCCTGGCATGCTCACATGGGGCACAGGTGAGAACCCCTGGCATAAACCCCAACACGACCGTCTCTGCCCCAACGGACACCAGTTGTCTCCAGCATCTGTCTTCAGGATGCTGCACAAACTAAAAGGTAAAATAATTTTTTTGTGTCTAAATGGCTGGAATTAGTTAAAACAAGCAAAATACGGTTACAGCAAGGCTTAGTGGAACCACACAGGAACGGCAGTAGCGCCATTTTAAACTACACAGATGACTTCCGCATGGAGAGTAAGGAAGTGGATAGACCCACAGTGCTGAGGACCGCGGGCAGCTGACTTAGGGTGGAGGCACAGGTTCAAACTGACCATTGCTAGGCCAATCCACAGGTCTCAGAAATAAAGCAGAGATGCAGACAGGAATGTGGTTCAGGGGCAGATCACTGGCCTAGCCTGCACTGGGCCATCGGCTCCATCTACAGCACTGCAAAATAAAACAAACACTTCAAGTTCTACCAAAGACAGTAAGAGTCTGCATGTGGTAACAGCGGTTGGCCATTCACTAACTTTTGGGCTGGGAAATCTAGCTTAGTAACAAAGGCCCTGGGTTCAGTTCCCAGCAAGAAAAGTTATCAATAAAGAATGTTACTGTATCCAGCTCAATGGCTGTTGCTGTGACAACAGAGCAGCTACAATATGCCAACTTTGTTATCTATCTCTCCCAGTGAAACACTAAGCCCTCAGATGGACAATATCCTGTCGCTGTTAGATGAGGAGGTTCAGGGATTCTGGGCGGATCACCTAAATCCCACGCGTGGTAACCTGATCACAACCAGGTAGGTGGCTCAGAAAGGGGCTCTCACCTGTTTTGTGCAGTCTGTCCTGTTCCATGGTGATGCTATTTTGAACTAGACGGCTTGGGTGCCCTTGCCTCAGCTTCTCCCACACAAGTAATGACACACAGTGGTATGAGAAAGCAGAGGATAGGCTCCAAGGGGCTGCAGGACCTGACCAGCCTGAGTGGCTGACTGTTGATTGAGCCCCAGGTGACACTGTAGCTCCCTGGTCTCCTGGTCCTGAGAGATCCTAAGTGGGCAGTGACGAGCCAGCTGGGTCCTCATGCTGCTGCCCCCAAGTCTCTCAAGAGCATCAATAAGTTCCAAGGGCCAGGCAGAGGATGCAGCAATAATTGGGTTCAGCTGCCACCTTAGGAACAGCCACTTGCTACAGCTGGGGCCTGCCATGTCCTGAGGGTTCCCAGCAAGAGAGCCAGCAGGGTCTGAGTGAGGGAAACCTTTGAAGTCCCCAGACTACACATGCTTAGATATTTCCCAATCCCTGATTTGTTCCCAATTGCTGGACAGGTCACAACATTGTCTGGTGAGCCAAGAGAGCTTCAAAAGGGACTCTGGGCCCAGTGTAAATTGGGCCATCAGGGGAGGCTTCTTGGAGGAATTGATGCCTCACCCGAGAGAGGAGAAAACAAAAGATAGCAGTTGGCCAGTGGTATGAATGACTTGGAGGGGACATCATAACCACAGGCATCTGGCAGGTGGGGGTTGATGGCTGAAGTGAGGCCAAGATGAAGGAAGGGGTTGGCTGGGACTCTGTCCTCATCAGGATACTGCACTGGATCCTAAGTAAACACACATCAGGACAGTGTCCGCCTTTAGTCACAAGGGCAGGCCACATCATGACAGCCTTTGTGTCTGGAGGGAGGTGGGTCCATCCAGGGCTCTTCTCTTCGCTCTGAGAGACATGTGGAACTGTGTCAGGTGCCCTGCATCCCAACGAGGTGATGCTCTTGTCTCTTTCTAGTGCAGTTGTGAGTGTGGAGGATGACATCTGCTGGTATACTCTGCAGGTTCAAGTCGCAGCTTGGCATGTCCTTGCTGAGTGACTTCAGACAGTTGCCTCATCTGCAGCCTGGAGAGAACTGTAACCTCCTCCTGGCATGTGGGGCTTGTCAGGTGGTTACAGGAGCAGCAGACACTTTTAGAGCTCTGAGCTTGCCCCTCTAAGGACTTTCTGGAAGGGACTGCCCTAAACTGGATCACCTTCTCCCTGCCTTTGGGAACATGGTATAGAAGCCATCACTTAAGCTTTTCTGCATAAGCAGAGTCATTGCTATGACTAACAATGATTCTGCTATGGGTCACAGTCACAGTGAGACAGAAGGATGTGAAGTAATTACTCCACCGGGGGTCCTAGGTGGTACCTCACTTTCCTGCCTCCTCCCTTTGCTCCTGCTTCTGATAGCACAAACAGTTCCTTTCTCTTGTAAACCAGGTAATAATAGTTAGAACTATGTTCAGACTAAGAGTCCCTAGATCTGGAATGAGCTGCAAGTATCTTCTCCTAGTGGAAAATGCATGCATTAGTGAAATGCATGCCCTTTGCTGCCACATCCTCATCCTCAGGGGAGCAAGTGAGGATGCTGTGGGTGAGAATGCTACAGAGGATACCATAACTGAGGATGCTGAAGGTAAGGATGCTGTGGAAAAGATGTTGTGAGTGAAGGTACTGTGGGTGAAGATGTTGAGGGTGAGGAAGCTGCTGGTGAGTATCTTGAGGGTGTAGATGCTGCAGGAGAGGATACTGTGGATGAAGATGCTATGGATGAGGATGCTGAGGGTGAGGATACCGTAAATGAAGATGTTGCAGGAGAAGATGCTGAGGGTGAGGATGCTGCAGATGAGGATGCTGTGGATGAAGATGCTATAGGAGAAGATGCTGAGGGTGAGGATGCTGTAAGTGAGGATGCTGAAGATAAGGATCCTGTGGATGAAGATGCTATAGGAGAAGATGCTGTAGGGGAGGGGGAGATGCTGAGGGTAAGGATACTGCAGATGAGTATCCTGAGGGTAAGGGTGTGGCAAGGCCACCCCACTGGGTTTCTGCAACATCATTCTGCAGGGCTGATGGCTTCATATGACAGTCAGTTTGCATGATGTTCAGTTTAGGATACCTGTTCCCTGATGACTTCACCCTGAGGACACTGCCTCAGGCACCTTGGGATCAGCAAGCAGCAGGTCAGTGTTTATGGTGGAGCCACTCAAACGGCTTTGCTGTCCGGTCCCTTCCCAGCAGGAAGGATTTGGTGTGATACCACATGTTACAAGCACATCCTCTGGGGTGTTTGCCTGTGTCCCAACCCCAGAGGACAAGTCCAGGAACGTGCCTCTTGGGACACTAACATCTGATACCACCACCAGAGAAGAACAGTGTGCCTGGTGTGTGGCCAACAAAGGACTGATGAATGTCTGGTGCCACTGAAGTCCTAGAAGAAATTCTACCTTGTCATCAGAACATCGGTCGCCATTTTGAGAGACTGCATGTGTGGAGGAGCTGTCTTAGGGAACACATGACCCCAAGTTCACCCTTTCCATTTATAGAAACGAGGTTCAGAGAGGGGAGGTGGCCAAGTGAGAGTGGCCCCACAAAGCTGGGGATTCTGTCTTAAAAAGCCTAGTGGCTTCCTAAAAGTTTTCCTTCACCATCCTGAAGATGCAGATGAAGGGAAGGGGCTAGGGGCGTGGCTCAGCAGTAGAGCCCTGACCTCACATGCACAGGCCCTGGGTTCTTGCCTCAGCAATGGGGCAGGGGAGGCAAGGATAGGATAGGGACTCACTGCTAATCTGAAGGGCCTGGGCAGAGTGGCAGTGGTGGTGGTGGAGGGAATGGCAGGGCTCAAAGGACAAGAGAGAGTGTCTTTCTGTGAGCCCCAGGATCCTGAGGGCCCTGCCCTCAGCGCCACTCAGATCACGTGCTTTGATGAAAGTTTACATCTTTGGAAAAATAATGAAGGTTGGTCACTAATGGGCCTCTGAGAGTTGTCACCGGCTTGCTGATAATTATAGCACTTTAATGGGGCTAATTCAGAGAGAATCAAGCTCAGGCCCCTGTTGCTTCCTCTAAGGCTGAGTGTTCCTCAGCAGGGCCTATTCAGACAGGCAGCTAGCTGGCCATGACCTTGGTCTGTACTTGAACTCACTTGACCCATTCACCCCTGGGAATCAGAAATCAGTCCTTTTTGTTTTGTATTTGGAAGAAAAATGTCAGCCTCTAAAACAGTTTCTCTGGAGCTGAGGGGATGGCTCAGTGGGCAAGGGTACTTGCTTTGCAAGCCTGATGACCCAAGTGCAATCCCTGGGATACACAGAAAAGTGGAAGACCCAACTCCACAAAGTTGTCCTCCGACCTCTGCATGTGTGTGCTATAGCACAGTGCACCCCTTCACATCACACATACACAATTATAAATACAATAAAAATGCTTTTTTAAATTGGCATGAAATCACAGAAAATTACCAAGCCTGATTCGAAAGCACTTCATAGGCGAGGGAACTGAGGTAGCGCACTTGGTAGGCACTGTGGGGGAGGCCGCAGAGGAAATCAGCGATACACCCTTCACAGAGTCTAGACTAGAGACAGATTCAGACCGTAGGCTCCTCTGACCTTCCCTTCAAGCCGTTCAAACTTTTATCACATCCAGGACAAGATTTGACTGCCTTGATTCCCCATTTAAGCCTTTCACTTTGACCTCATCCTTCTTCCCTTTGTATTTCTGACACCTTGGTTCCTCTGCTGCCCCCAAAACCTCCTTCCACTCTGCTGGCCTTCTTCAGAGCAGAGGCCTCCGTGGATGTTTGCCTCCCTATCCCTTGCTGAGTTTCTGTGAGCATCCTAAGACCAGAGACTGTGTGCAATCCAGTCCGTGCTCGGCTCTCTGTGACCCCTGTACTGCGCCTGAAATACGGTTGGCGCTGCACTGTTGAATGTGAAATATGGCAGAGGTCTGGCCAGAGCATGACCGAGGCTCACACAAGTTCCGGGTGAAGGAAGAGGCCATATAAACCAGTGACTGGAATCTGCCCATGCCCAGGAGAACCTTTCAGGCAAACCCAACATCGGTTCTCTACTTCACCCTTGCTCCAGACCTCTGTGGGCACCTGTCCTGACCTAGCTGAGTGAGTCATTTGGGAACACAGACACGTGATGCAATTCTAGCCAATGAGACAAAAGGACAGGTCTCCTGGGAACTTCTAGGAGAGATTTTTCTGGATCCTAGACATGAGAGTAGAAAACTTTTTTTTTTTCTTTTGGTTTTAAATCAAATCTAGAACCTTGTGATATGTGATGCCTGGACCCACAGCAGCCACCTTGGGTCACGAGGGTCCTGCTCAGTTGATGGAGAGTGACAGCATCACTGTAACCATGTTTCACAGCTGATGTTCCTCACCCATATACCCTTGGGAATAGGAAATCTGCCCCGATTTTCAGCCCAAGAGGGAAAGAGCTGGCTGAGCAGGACTGACAGAAGCCTCATCACCAGGGATGCTGGAAGGCTGCTCCAGTGTACCATGGTGTCTGCAGCGGGACCTTTGCTCCCCTGCTGGGTCGACCTCCTCTGAATTGATTTCATGGTGCTTGCAACCCAAAGCCTCTTAGTCAACGCAGCTTTGGGGTCCAGGTTCCTCTGTAGATGGGGAGCAGATAGCTTGGAACATGCGGAGCAGAAGCCTAGGGTGATGCTGCATCTTCTTCACTGGCCTAAGCTCAGCAGGGAATGAAGGGTGTGTGTGTGTGTGTGTGTGTGAGTTGTGTGTGTGCATGTGTGTGTGTGTTGTGTGTGTTTATATTCTTGTGACCATGCTTGCACACTTTGAGGTGACCAGCCAAGGAAGGGTTTAAAGAGGAGAACAGGGCCAAGCAAAGAGGCTGTTTTTATCCTCTGCTTGGACAACAGAGCAACCGCCCTCATTTCTTTTCGTCTGAACAGATAATCCAATAATTAGAGCAGCAAATAGCATAACCCTGGCTAAAGCTATAATGAACCATCTGGCTTGAATCACTTAGGCTTATTCTGAGGGATCTGGTTGTCAGAGCTCGGAGGGTGCACAGCTTGGGTACCAGGTACAGGGTGGTCTTGCTCTGTGCTTCCTCACCCACGAGAGCCACAGTCCTCATGTTCTCAGCCCGATGAGATGCAAGCCTCCTGGCTCAGCCTCGTATCCACTTCCTCAGCAATGCAACCTCCAGGCCTCTTCTCCACACTTCGTTAATGTGTCACAGTGATCTGGGTGTGGCCAGCCCCCAGGTTCAGCTGAGAGAGCTGTATCTAGGACCCTGCTCATGTGAGCCTGTCCCCAGCTAGGACACCTGTGGCTGAGCCCAGAGCCTCAGCATGGTTCCCTCTGTGCCACCCCCAGCCACTGAAACAGTATCGAGCAAACACTGTGCAGCCAACTAACAGGAGATGGGGCTTCTGGTTTGTTTTAGTCTTTGTGGTGGGGTTTCAGGTGAGTCAAAAGGACTAGGTTTCTCCCTTCTAGGCCATATGTCATCCTCTGGGCCTCTAAGGCACCTGGAGTGTGGCCTGCAGCTCAGGCACAAGCTGTATTCACCTGCTCACTCCCCGGGCTGCAGGCCGAAGGCTGGAAATGGGAACCACTTCCTAGCCTCTCTTCCCAGGATGGCTCTGGGTCCCCCAGGAGGGTGACTGCGGTCCTAGTTAGAGCCTCCCCAGAGGCCTGTCAGCCTGGATCCTTGCACAGAGTGCCAGGAACTGGGCAAGGGAGTAAATCCAGGGCACAGCTCTGTAGACTTTAATAAATTCTGCCCACCCAGTTTTCCGCAGTCTGCAGGACAGCAGAGGGTGAGGCCTGCTCCTCAGTCTCTGTGCTTGGGGGTAGGGCCTTGGTGAGAGGGTCCAGGCCTAGAATACACGGTGTTCTCAGGCGGGGCTTGATCCACCTCTGTTGTTGATGGGCTCCCTGAAGCGAAATGCGGAGTCTGTTGCCAGAGCAGCGCAGTGAACTCCCATCTTCAGTTCAGAGGCACAAGTTATGCCGGGGAAAAGCCAGGCCCTTCCCTAGAGGCCCTGGGAAACACCCAGGTCAGGCACAAACCACCACTGTCGCACCAAGGAGGAGCTGCTTTTGCCACGGGGAAGCTGGTGTGAGACTCCCATACCCCACAGTCCCATGGCGACCGTGACTAGGTTTTGAGGCTGGTTCTTCAGGTCTAAGTGAACCAGCTTGGAGTCACAGTTGGGCAGGGGCTCTTCCATGAAGCGACCCCCATTTTCACCCCCAAGTAAATCCACTGGACTCCAACTACAACCTATTTCCTCCTTGGCTTCCCGGATGGTCCCCGGTGGGCCGGCCAGGCACCCCCAAGGACCACACAAGACGCCAGAAGTGCTCCTGGCCTGGCTTGGGAGACCCTGGTGTCCCCTGGGGCTGAGTCCCAGATCCAGGCTGGGGACCCTCCTGCCTCAGGAAGCCGGCGTAACAGGTGGGCGGAGGTCCGCGGCCAAGGCCAGCGTTGCGGTGGGGTCCGCGGACGCGGGAGGAGGAACCGCCAAGGTTTTTCCAAAGGACAAGCGGCTCGCGGTCCTGCTCCTCGGCCCGCGCACCAGCAAAGCCGCGGCGCTGCGGGCCGCTGGGCCCGCCCTAGCCGCCACAGGGTCCCCAGCCGGGAGCTACCGCGCGGCCCGCAGCAACTGGTGTCTTCCCGGGGCGCAGCTCCGCCCTTCCCGGGAACAAAAGCCGCCGCCCGCGCTGAAGCTCCCAGAGCGCGGGCCGGGAAGGGGTGCGGGGCGCGCTCAAGGGAACGGAGGCCCGGAAACGGGGCGCCCCCAGAGGACGCCCCCAAACTTCCCTGCTCTCGCGTGCGGGTGTGCAGGGCGGCAGCGGCGCATGCCCTATGGGGACCCGGGCGCGGGGAGGGGGCCAGCAGCGGGCGACCGGGAAACTTACTGCAGTCGTCCGACTCATAGCCGTCGGCGTCCGGCTCATCTTCGGGGGGCTTGGCAGGCGGCCTCGCGGGGCTAGGGCTGGGGCCGGGGCTCGGGCTGGAACCGTAGGCTCCAAAGAGCTGGTCCACATCCTCGTCGTCGTCGCGGCCGCCGTCGGAGGGACTGCGGGGGCCGGCGCTGGCTGCGGACGGGCGCGCGGGGGCGTCCGGGGGCGCGGTGGCGCGGGGCGCGGCGGTGGGTGGCAGGCCCCGCGGGAAGCGGGGGAAGTAGTCGGAGATCTGTTTGATGGGCCGAATGGGCCCCGGGCACACGTCGATGGCCATATGCTCCTGGATGCTGATGGTCGCCTTCTCCCCGCGCCGCCGGAGGGTCATGCAGGCAGCGCCGCGGCGCGCGGCCCGGCCCGGCCCGGTATGACCCCGGCCCGGGGGCAACTCAGCGGGTCCCGCGGGGCTCGGCGAAGGCCGCGGGCATCGCCGGCGTGGTCCCCGGACGGCCCTGACGCGGTTGCTGCCTGCTTGGCGGCGGCTGGTGCGAGTGAGTGTGGGGCCGGCAGCAGGGGGCGGGCCCAGCCCGCGTCACCCGGCAGCAACCAAGCGGTGAGTGTGCGGGCTGCGCGCGCGGGCGGGCGGGCCGGCGGGCGCGGAGAGAGCGAGGGAGCGAGCGAGCCAGGAGAGCAACCACTCACTCGCGCTCACACGGCGCGCACACACACACGCGGGAGACGCGCAAGGCCACTCGGAGCCTTCCCTCACTTACACTCGCAGGCCGGGACCCGCGTGCCACTCATTCTCCCATGAGGGGCTGCAGCCACTCTTGCGGGACATGCGCAGGTGTGTGGGGCACTACAAACACACACGAACGTGCGTAGAGATAATCAGTGGAAACGGTCACCCATTGGGGCTACAGGCTACAGGCACATGCAGTGGTGGCAGATGCTATGGCACGGCACACCTCCCCAACAGGCATATACATCCAAGAAACACATGTTCTCAAGGATGCCCAGGACACGGACTCCCGTGCTGTGCTCAACTAGCAGAACTCTAGCCATAGAAACCATTTGGGGATGTGGCCGTGAACTCCTCAGAATCCCCCTCCTGTGCAGAGGCAGGTGGGCAGGCCACAGGGCTACCCTCTCGGGTAAACAGGAACAGGCTGTTTACATCCTGGCATGACCTGTCCCAGGTCACTTCTGGGACAGTCTGTCTGCTCACTTCCTCTCAGGTCACAAGCAAACTGGAGATTTTGTGACCTGGACCGGGCTCTTCTTCATTCAGTCCCTGAATGGTTTGAAAGACCCACCAGGACAGACTGGGTGAGGACTTAGCCCAGGGCATGGTCAGGATTGGGAGAGGAAGAGACCTCCGGACGGGAATGATGCCTGAGTCTGGGAGTAAACCCCAGACTTGTGCCTCCCCTGGCCAGGCAACTAAACAAACCCCTGCCGGCCTTCTGGGTACAGCTGTGCTGGGAACGGGCTGCTGCTTGCACAGGTGCGTCTCCAGTAAGCCCTGGTCTGGCGGGGATGGAACCCTGTTTACCCTGCTCTTCGCTGACAGAGGGAGAGGCTTATCATTTTGTCTGTGTCCGCCCTATTGCCGACGTTCACGACCTATGGGGGGGGGGTTCGAACGACTTCCACGGGGGTCACCTGAGACCGTCAGAAAATATATTTATATTATGACTCATAACAGTAACAAAATTACAATTATGAAGTAGCAATGTAAATAATTTCATGGTTGCGGGGTTACCACAACATAAGGAACTGTATTAAAGGGTCACAACCTTAGGAAGGTTGAGGACCACTGCTCTATTGAATGTGAATGGAGGTGTCAACCATGAGACCTGGGCAAGGTGAGCCTCCCCTATTGCTCTTAGTTACATCATTTGAGCCCCTGAATCTCAGTCTCCTCATCTGTGGAATGGGACTAATTCCAGTTTCCCAGCATCGTGGTGGAGCTCCACGTTAGTTTAGCATTGAAGATGACAGGCCTGAGGAGCTTCACAAGGCTGCCTTTTCCTCCCTTTTAGAGACTAGACTCACTGGTAAGAAATGATGGAGAATCAGGTGGAGAATTCCTCCCCCTCTTTTCACTTTTCTTTATTTCTTTGTGGCATTGTGACTTGAACCTAGAGTCTCCCACACACTAGGCACACTCTACCACTTAGCCACACCCCAGCCCTCAGTAGTTTTTATTGTGAGAATGGGTTTCCATAAGTTTCCAGTAGGAAACTTTCTGTCCAGGGTTGGTTTTGAATTTGTACCTAGTCTTCTTTGAAGTTCTTACTTTGAGACAAGGTCTCACTAAGCGGCTTGTGCTGGCCTTGGGCTCACCTTCTGATCCTCCACTTCAGCTCTGGAGTACTGGATGACAGCCTACTCCTCCGGGCCTGGCTTTTGTGCGTGGGTGGCCACCTGTCTTTGTAACATGTCCTGCTCTGCCACATCCCCAGTCACCATTTCACTGATCCTTTTACTGTCCCCTCATGGAGCCAGAGGTTCTTGTTCCCACTTTGCAGCTAAGGAAACAGAGAACAGCACTGGGGGACTGCTGGTTGCTGAGAGCTGCAATTAAGACCTAACGGAGGGCTGGGTATGGTGGCAAAGACCTTTAATTCAACATTCAGGAAACAAAGGCAGGATTGCCACAGGCTTGAGGGCAGCCTGGTCTACACAGTGAGCTCTAGACCAGTCAGGGCAGCACAGCAAGACCCCTTCTCAAACAGTGCAATCTTGTGTTCATTTGTTTCCATTCTCCTGTCCCCCCCTCCTTCCTCACCCCTACAGAGCTTGCACTCCAGGATCCCCACGAGGCTTCTTGGGTGGGGGTGGAAGGGCTGAGCTTCAGGGATTACAGGGCAGTGAACTGGCCTGGTGGCGGGTGCTGGGAGTGGAGATTCTGAGTCTAAGGAGGGACGAAGGTACCTGGTCTCAGCAGGGCGGTCCTTCTACAATGACTAAAGGGGTGGCTTTTACTCCTTATGCAGGCAAACTGTGACTTTCCCTATGCCAGGGGTAGCAAGAGGTGCCTGTAGCATGAAGTGGGTATCCGAATACAGCAGCAGAGCAGCCTTCACATTCCTGCAGGAGGAACAAGAAAAGGTGAGCGTCATCTTGGGGACAGGGAAAGTGAGGCTTCAGGTCGGCAAGGGGAGAGCACGTGGGACTGGGCACAGGAGCCTGGGTATATCGACTCCTGACCCTGTGTTTTTTTTAAGCCAAAGTCTGACCCGTGAGTTCATGGGGAGACTGGGACAGAGGAGGGGCTGACCAGTTCCTCCTGGCTTCTTGACCATTTGAGGAAGGGCTTTCTGGAAGAGCTGCTCACAGTTCTTCGCCCCATGGGAGCTAGGATTAAAGGGATTCTAGACAGAGGATGCCTAACACACTATCTGGCTGGTAGGAGGCACTCTTGTCATGTCTTCTGGGTGTAAATGTCATCCTATGCCACGTGCCTGCCTCAGTTTCTCTATTGGGTGAATGTAGTCAGCTGCTTCATCTGTTGCCAGGACCAGATGAGGATACAGACAGGAAACCTGTTGAGAAATGAATGTTCTTGCCAGTGCTGAGTACCAGCTGGCAGGGGGCGGGGTTCTCCAAGCAGCTGGATATGTCCAAGCCTAATCAGTCATGTTGCTGGGGTGGGCAGCTCCACAGAGGAACTCCCCCCCTCCGAAGGCTCAGTGAGTGCAGTCTGCTTCCCCCCAAACTCTCTCCAAGGCCCTCTACAAATAAAATGGACTCCACAAGGGCTGTCTGGGCTGTCTGTCCCACTGTGATGGATGTCTATGAATAATGCGGATTCCAGGGCTCTACCTCACACCCGCTGATCAGAAGAGGTGTGTGCAATGCCAGGTGTCTCAACAAGTACCTCTAGATGATTTTTATGCACAGCCAAGGCCGCGAATTGCTAGGTTAGGAGGTGCTAATGGTTTGATACTCTGATGCTCAAGCGCAGGTGCCCCGCCCACAGTTCACAAATATCACACATGCCATTAACAGCACCTCTCGGTATTTAGTAATGTGATGCTCAAGCTGCAGGTGCCCCCCCAGTTCACACACGTCACAGTTCACACATGTCACACTTCACACACGTCACAGTTCACACATGTCACACGCACCATCGATAGCACTTCTCAGTTTTTGGCAGAAGCCACCCCATAGTTCACATATGTCACAGCTCACACATGTCACAGTTCACACACGTCACAGTTCACACACGTCACAGTTCACATGTCACAGTTCACACATGTCACAGTTCACACACGTCACAGTTCACACACGTCACAGTTCACACACGTCACAGTTCACACACGTCACAGTTCACACACGTCACAGTTCACATATGTCACAGCTCACACACGTCACAGTTCACACACGTCACAGTTCACACGCGTCACAGTTCACACGCGTCACGGTTCACATGTCACACATGCCCTCGACAGCACCTCTCAGTATTTAGCAGTTCTCCTCCGAGGAAGTAAGTGCTTGACAGGAGTTATGGGTGTGGTATCTGGGGAGGGGAGCATTTCTAGAAAGATTTGGCCAGATCAGAGTGAGGAGCTTGATTTGGCCTCCTTCTTGGTCCAGAATGGACCTTTCCCTTTTGAAGGTGACATACATTTCTTCTTAGTTTTGAGACAGGGTCCCTGTAGCTCAGGGATAGCCTGGAGCTCAGTATGTAGTTGAGGCTGGCCTTGAACTTCTGACCCTTCTTCCTCTGCCTCTCTAGTGCTGGGACTACAGATGACATGCCATTTGTTTTTGTTTTTCGAGAAAGGGTTTCTCTGTAGCCTTGGCTGCCCTGGAACTTGCTCTGTAGACCAGGCTAGCTTTGAACTCACAGAGATCCTTCTGTCTCTGCCACCCAACTGTTGGGATAAAAGGCATATGCCACCACCACCCAGTCAGGTGACCTGCATTTTTGAGGAAATGGCCTCTACTCAGCAGTTGGCTGGATGTCCTTGATTGGTGTCCTGAAGTACAATTAATAAAAACTCAGGGTCAGAAATTGGGGTTCAACCTGAAGATTCAAAAAGCAAAACAGCCAGCCACTGGCTCTTACCTCGACCTCAGTCTGAATGATGATCCTGCCTTTAGGAACCTCAGAATGAGACTGTCTGAGAACTGTCTCCCCTCGTTTTATATTCCTCTCTAGGGTTGGGATCAAAGGCATGCTCCACTGGGATTAAAGGCATGCACCGTCTGATTTCTATGGCAACTAGGGCAGCCACAGGGATTAAAGGTGCATGCCAGTATGACTACTGGGATTAAAGGTGTATGTTACCATAACCTGGTCTGTAAGGCTGACCAGTGGGACTGTTTTACTCTCAGATCTTCAGGCAGTCTTTATTTATTAAAATACATTTAAATGCCACCACATTTCTCCTTTTTGTCTAAAAAAAGAGAAGGCTATAGCTAATATAAGAAAAAATATATTCAAAAAGTACAATAACTATATACAATATATACAGGCAACACATCAACAATGTCTAGTTCATTTACATTTGACAAATTCAGAGAAAATACTTCATATCTATTCTATCTTGGTGAGTTCAAAATCTTATACCTAACTTATTTT